ATGTCTTCCAGTGTTACAATTCTTTGGTTGATTCTTGAATTGTGCATAATGACTTGTATGATTGTAACTGTGTGTTGAATCTGAATTTATGCTAAAATGGGTGAAATAATATGCTTGTGATATAATATTGATTGAGAAACTTATAATGCATGTTAATTATGAGAAATTTCACCCTTACTTTAATGATTTCAGATTAAAGTTAGCAGCTCAGGAGTTGGTGAGGATGGCTCTAGAGCTATGTTATTTTAGTCCGCGTGTCAGTGTCGTGCTCTGATAGGTTCTAACACTGGGGGAAACGTTTGAATGACGAGTTTTATTTTCTATTGTTTAATTTATGTTGGGAATACTTACGAAGTGAAGTTATTCCGGGTTTGAGATATTTTTGCTGTGTAGAACATGATGTTGATTTAAATATTTATAATAATAATTCCTTCAGTAAAGCATGACAACTGTAAATTTGAGGTTTTATATTTATCTTGAATTATGACATCCTTGTTTTTCATGTTACTCTGATTTAATTAATATATTCGCGGGTTATTTTTAGAAGGGGTGTTACAAGTAGCACACTACAAAATGCGCTGAGCGCACTCGCGCTTAGCGACCTCTGCACGCTAAGCAGACTCTCCTGGACAGAATGTCCCAAAACTGGTCATTTATTCTGAAAACACACATTCTGAGCCGTGCCTTCGACACTTTATTCCTAAATGCTCCAAAATACAACAAATACCTACAAAATAAATAGAAAAATATCAGACGGTATACTATGTACACAAAAACACAAATAAGCACAAACTAAACGTATTTACACAAAAGTCGTGTTTATTAAATGATATTAACAATAAAAGTCGATAAGTACAATAAAAAGTATATACAAAAATAGCTACAATTTGCATTTATCACTAAGCAACCAAGACATTACACTAAGCTACATCATCAACCTATTTATATGAGCTCTTAGCATAGGTTTCATCAAAACCATATACATCGAGGTATCTATTATTTGTGTCCTTATGTTTTTGTTACTTTCAGTATTACCAAAACAAAATTCCTATAGTTCAAACTCTCATAAATAGTTTTCGTGAACGCCACTTTAAGCAGCTGCGCCCGCCATTCTTAGTCCTTACATTGGTGAATGATCCACTATATTTCTTTGTGCCACTCATCAAGTTCAAGCATGAAGTGTTTACTGAGTTCCATAAGTTCAAGGTGAAGGCTGAGAAGCAGAGTGGTCAGAAGCTGAAGATTCTGAGAACAAATGGTGGAGGTGAGTATAACTCTACAGAGATCCATAAGTTTTGTGAGGAGAATGGAATAGAACATGAGGTTACTACTCCATATACTCCTCAGCACAACGGTCTTGCTGAAAGAAGAAACAGAACTTTGCTTGATATGACCAGAAGTATGCTGAAAGAGAAGAAGTTACCTCACATGTTATGAGGAGAAGTTGTTGCCACATCAGCATATGTTCTGAATAGGTGTCCAACAAAGAAGTTGAAGGAAATTGTTCCTTTAGAAAAATGGACTGGAGACAAGCAAAGTGTTAGCCATCTGAAGGTGTTTAGCTCTGTATGCTACAAACACGTTCCAGATGCTAGAAGACGAAAACTGGATGATAGAAGCAAAACAATGTTACTGGTGGGGTACCACAGTACAGGTGCCTATAAGATTTGTTGTCCAGAAACCAACAAAGTTGAAATCAGCAGAGACGTCATTGTGAAAGAGTCAAAAACATGGGATTGGAACAAGCTTCAATCAGATTCTGGTGTAGTGCCAACACCAGGGTTAGTTTCTGAAAGTTCTGAAGACGAGTCAGAGTCAGAAGATGAAGACTCTGAAGATGAGTCATAATCTCAGGGAGATTCTGATAATGGATCTGATTCTGATCCAGATTCTGATGATGATTCAGAATCTGGTGGTGATTATAATTCTGGAAGGGAAAACTCTGAAGACATGGGGTTTGGAGAACAAGCTTCCAGAAGTAACTCTGAAGGTGGTAATTTTGAAGGAAATAATTATGGACAAAGTCCAGAAGCCAGCACAGTTCCAAGTTTTGGAGAAAATTCAGAACAAGATCAGAGGCCACAGAGAATCAGACGAATACCAAGTAGGTTTGCAGATTTTAGCATGTTACATGATACTGAAGTAGATTCTGAAGAAGAAATCGTTCAGTGTTCCATGCTAGTAGACTCTGAACCAGTGGGTATTGAAGAAGCACTCAAGAAGAAAGTATGGCTGAATGCCATGAAATAAGAACTTGAGGCTATTGAAAGAAACAAGACTTGGAAGCTGACAGAACTTCCAAAAGGCAAGAAAGCCATCAGCGTCAGATGGGTTTTCAAGTAGAAGCTACAGCCAGATGGGTCAATTGGCAAACACAAAGCGAGACTAGTGGCCAGAGGTTTTCTTCAGAAAACTGGACTAGATTACTTTGAGGTGTTTGCGCCTGTAGCTAGACACGAAACAATCAGACTGGTGATTGCTTTAGCTGCAAACAGAAATTGGCCTTTGATACATCTGGATGTGAAGTCTGCATTTCTGAAAGGTCCATTACAGGAAGAAGTTTATGTGTCACAACCTCCTGGATTTGTGAAAAAGAATCAGGAAGGGATGGTATACATGTTAAATAAATCTCTGTATGGACTGAAGCAAGCGCCCAGAGCTTGAAATTTGAAGATTGATTCGTTTTTCAAGGAACAAGGGTTTCAGAAGTGTGAGATAGAGTATGGTGTTTATGTTCAGCACACTTCAGAAGGTAATATGATTCTGGTCTGTTTGTATGTTGGTGACATATTACTCAAAGGAAGTTCTGAACAAGAAACAGTTGAGTTCAAGAAAGTTCTGATGAATGCGTTTGAGATGACAGATCTTGGAAAAATGATTTTCTTTCTAGGAATAGAATTTATATACTCTGAGAAAGGAATCATCTTACATCAGAAGAAGTATGAACTGGAGCTTCTGAAGAGATTTGAGCTAGAAAATTGCAAGGTTGCTATCACACCTGCTGATACGAATCAGAAGTTGGATTCTGATTCTGATGGAGAGGATGTGGATGCTACAACCTTCAAACAGATGGTTGGTTCTCTGAGGTATTTGTGTAATACCATACCTGATATTTGTTATGCAGTTGGAATGGTCAGCAGATACATGAGCAAACCAAAGTGGTCTCATTACCAAGCTGCTGTCAGGATTCTGAGGTATATAAAAGGAACTCTGAAATATGAAGTGTTATTTCCTTCTGGAGGAAAGATCAAATCAGAACTTCTGAGTTATTCTGATTCTGATTGGTGTGGAGATAGAATTGACAGAAGAAGTACTTCTGGGTACTTGTTCAAGTTTCTGGGAGGTCCAATTTCTTGGAGTTCCAAGAAACAGCCTGTTGTGGCTTTGTCAAAATATGAAGCTGAATACATTGCCGGTGCTGTAGCTGCTTGTCAAGCAGTTTGGCTTCTGAATCTGCTGCATGATCTGAAGGTTGAAGTTGAGGAACCTCTGAAGCTGATGATTGATAATAAGTCTGCAATTAATCTTGTAAAGAATCCAGTGCTACATGGAAGAAGCAAGCACATTGAGACGAAGTATCACTTTCTCAGAAGTCAAGTGTAGAAAAGAGTGTTAGAAGTTCTGCACTGTAGCACTCAGAAGCAGCTGACAGATGTTCTGACAAAGGCGATAAAAACAGATCAATTTCTTCGTTAGAGAGATGAAATTGGTGTTGTTAACTTCTGATAAGTTACTAAATTACGAGATGATATTAGAGGGTAATTTAGTATTTGTCATTTGTAAATATTATTGATTAGGGCCTATGTGGCATTCTTATTTGTGTATAAATAGGTGTACTAGGTTTACATTTATATCAATCCAATTCCTTCAATCATTAGTGGCAGCTTTTAGCATTTATTCCTTTTCTCTCTTCTTCCTCAAATTCATCACCTTGCACTAACAAACTGTGATTATGTGTCTGTTTCAATTATTGTGAAATGTGTATTATATAGGTATGAGCTTCTCGAAGATTGCTCTATGTGGACGTTCGTTTTCGCCTCAGGACTTAGGCTAGGCTTCTTAAATTGTTTGATCGGTTTTTGTTCCTCTTCCATGGTTGCTAGGTATACGTTCTAGTTTATAGTCAGGGTTGAATTGTTGTTTTTTTTCTCTTGTACCTTTTTAATTGTTTTTTTTTTGTTTGATTTTCTATTGATGGACTTTTGGGCACATTTTGTACAGACTGTTTAGCTCCCTATGTTTCTGTGGAGCTTTTGGTTTGGACCTATTGCAGGATTTATTTAACCCTTCTTATTGATGATTTGGTTCAACTCTTTTTTTTCTTGTGGGGCTTTTGCTTTGGACCTATTGCAGGACTTATATTTTGCAAAGGATATTATATATTGCAGAACCTTTGTTGAACAATAGTTAAATAAGGTGAATAAATATTTGAATTTCCAAAATTTGTCTAATTTTTTTGTAGCATTATGTGATAGTAGATATGAATGATAAGTTGTGATAGAAAAGAAAAAGTTAGAAACAATATTGAATAAGGTTTATAAATTTTCTTATTTTGTAAGCAATAAAATGAATGTATGAGAATTGAAGTGATTAAGGAGTTTTATAAAAAAATTCTGTTGTTTGTGCAATGGTGGAATTTCTAACCTTTGGTTATTTTTTGATCCGTCTATAAATTATGTTTATGATTTATACATGGCTTTTATTTACTAAAAGCTATTATAGACACAAATTTAAAGGAGGAAAAGTGCTAACAACAATGATACTTGATATATTACACATGATAAACTATTTACCACTTTAAATCGAAATCACACTTTAAATCGAAATCAAACTCATCATCACTATACATAGTGACTTATAGAGTTGTGAAATAACTATACTAAATAGTGGCAAGATAGATAAATACATGACCACAAAAGATTAAAGTCTCTATACATCTTTTGTTCAACATTCAACATTTATTTATTCATGAAATTTTATTACTACGTATATTGGTATAATCAGTTACCATGGTTGTAACCACCACCATGTCCACCATGGTAGCCACCACCACCGTTGTAACCCCCTCCACCATTATGGTAACCGCCTCCACCATTGTAACCACCACCACCATTATGGTAACCACCACCGTTGTTATAACCACCTCCACCATTATGGTAACCTCCACCGTTGTTGTAACCACCTCCACCATTATGGTAACCTCCACCGTTGTTGTAACCACCTCCACCATTATGGTAACCACCACCGTTGTTATAACCACCCCCACCATTATGGTAGCCGCCACCGTTGTTGTAACCACCTCCACCATTATGGTAACCTCCACCACCATATTTGGCATCATTTACTTCATTTGACTTTTCAACAACCTCTGCAAATACAATATTATGAAATATATAACTTCAATTAATTTCTTTATGTACTCATACATACCTCACTTAGCTTTATAAAAAATAAACCACTTTGTAATCAACTCATAAACTAATTTATTTAGAATTAATTATGTCATCTGTTTATATTATTTAGAAAACAATAATTCAATTAGTAAAAGAGTAACACAAAATAAAGACAAAAGTTAAGTATAAAACTCCTTAAAATGCTCATGAAAAAAATACATATATTAACCCTAAATTAAGAAAAAATAATTTATACCTAGCTCACCATCTTTCGCATTAGTGGACGTCTCAGTTAGGTCTCTAGCTGACACCTCTGAGGAAATAAGAAGAACCATGGCCAATAGGCCAAGGATGAGGATTGATATTTTGGAATCCATTGTATTCAACTCAAGATCGATTGAAATGTGATATTTGGTAATGAAGGATGAGAAAAATGGTAAGAAGGTGCGGTCTATATGTAATGGAAGGAAGTAGGAATCAACACGGAGCTTTTGTTAGGTAGTTGGCATGGTAGTTAGTGGAAAGTGACATTTTTCCAATCATAGCACTTCTAATCAATACTAGCTATATCGTGGAGCTTCATTCCAAATAATCTTTACATATTTGTAATATTTGTATATTTTCCTAAATAAAGTAAGGAATCCTTTTAATTTCTATTTTTTCTTGAGTTTTATAGAAGATATATTGATAGTGTAAAAAAATTATACACTGTTATCTGATAGAAATATATTATTTTGTCATGTCATATAAATTTCTTTAAAATGACAGTACGATTTGACTGGATTCATGGTCGTGATTGGTTGACAGTGTAAAACTTTTTTTATACTATCAGTGCATTATTCATTTTCTCTTTTTTCTTTCTTTTTTTCGTGAAATTGTATAACATGAAAGAGTTTGAAGAACTTCCAGATGCATCTTCTTTGGATCTTCTCTGGATAGTGTATCAATATAAGTATAAAAGTCCTAGAGAGGCGTCGAAACTCTAACGATTGGCGAGAGGCTCCCTAGTCGCCTAATTATTAGGATGGAAGCCCATTTTTTTGAATATGTCATCATTTTTCTGGATGACTCGTTTAATTCTAGCGAACATGGGAGTGATGTGTTCCGGTTCATAACGGTGGAAAGAGTGAGTCAAAAAAGAAAGGTTACTTTCTTTTGAATAATAGGGAAGTTGACAACCAACTTCCCACGCTCCTAAAAAATGTTTCTACTTGTAGGAGCGTGAGATTAAGGCCCGTGAATTTCTAAAAATATTTCAACCCTACAGTGGCGAATTGGGAGAATTCATTATGAAAATACTACATAAAAAGCTTCTCGTCTCCTTTTGTGAGTTAGCTCTAACAACATAACAACCTTAGAACCTCTGATAACCCTTAACCCCAAAGGGCTATCACCATTGTTCTTTTAGCAAGTACAATTGGTGTCCCATGTGGGACCTAATAAAACTGACATGGGACACACTCATCATTACTCATCGTTCGTTTTCAGTATCTTCCTTTAGAAGATGCTTAAACAAAGTTCTGAGACCATTTTCAACACCATCGCCTAAGGTTCCATTGATGAAGGAGAGTCAATTTTCACCCTAAGAAAGTATGCCAATAGATTTTAACGGCAAACATCATACTCGCTAAAATCACCAAAACTCTAGGGAGAGATTAAGAATCCAAAATCACCTTCTTCAATCAAGAATACATTAGTGTTCTCCCTCACAACCATGATATCATGGTCATTACGGTGCAATACGATGATTGGGATGTAAAACGAGTATTAGTCGACCCTAGAGCTTAGCAGATGTCTTATACTAGAGCACCATCCAGGGGGCTCCCGCTTGACCCAAGCAAAATAAGAGTATTTTACAGTTCTCTAGTTTATTTATCAGGTGAATAGGTACAAGTATAGGGTTGCGTAATGGACGAATAATGGTTGGCTCAGAGGCAAGCGCAAAAACAATTAAAATAAAGTATATATTGGTGGAAACATTGTTTCCATACAACGCTATCTTAGGGAGGTCATCCCTTAACTTGATAGGGATAATAATGTCCCCTCTTCATTTGAGCTTAAAGTGGGGAGTTTTGATTAGTTCGGGGGGGGGGGGGGGGGGGGGGGGAGGGGGGGGGGGGGGGGAGGAAGTCACCCAGGAAAGCTATCATAACAACTTGGAAATGAGAAGGAATCATGTCGCCCCAGGCACTTCCCCCAACCAGAAGCAAAGAGGCAGTTATCTCAAGTTAGGACCCTAGACTGGGTATCAAATATGAAAAGCTCACTCCTAAAAAGGACTTGAAAGAAGTAAGGGTAGGTCCATTAGACCACCAAGTTGGGCTCCTCCTTATCTGATTCAAAGGAGGAAGAGCTTGTTGCTCTACTAAGTAGGAACATAAAATTGTTGGTTTGGGCACCCTATAATACTCCAAGAAAAGATATAAGAATTGAATGTCACCGCCTCACCTTTATTCCCGTAGTGAAACTAATATCTCGAAATAAATACAAGGTAGACATGGAGAGAGTGTGGTCATTAATGAAGAAGTTCAGAAGATGACAAATGTCATCTTATAACTTAGGTAAAATAAACATCTTTTCTGGCTAACATACACGACAAGAAAAAACTATAATTGTTATGGGTTTAACCTCTTACAACGTGAAAAAAAACCTCACACTACACAATTATGTGAGGGGTGAAATCGCCTAAATTTTTTTTAACAAAATCCTTTAAATATGCAATAGAAAATTGAATTAAAGAAGACTAGCGAAAGGTAAAAGAGATAAGGGAAGAAAGCTAACACTGGAGATTTATAGAGGTTTGGTAATAAAGAAGTGACATACTCCTCTCCTCAAGAATAAAGTTTAGATTCGCTTATATCTCACTCCATCCATTAGAGATCTGTGTATCATGTTTCAAAGTTACTTTTCTGGTTAACTTTGGGCTTAGGATGTAAATCATTCGGGAGTTGAGATTCAATTCTGAGTCTATGGATTCATTGATCAAGCACGCCATTTGAAGTTGCCTGAGATTCAACTTGTCATGAACGTTCGAGTTGCATATGAGGATTGATTTAAGATGAACATGGAATAGAAGTTTTTAATACGGTTCGAGAATAATTCACTTAACTTGCTTGGAGAACCAGTTAAAAGTGGTGTTTTATTAATTAAGGTTAAGGTGTTCGCGTCCAATAAAAGCTCATTTCTTCTAATTCTTTTGGTTACTACTACAAGCAGTGAAGTGTGGATTAGAGTTTTATTATGGATTTCTATACGTCAAGTCTTGGGTTTCCTCAAGGAAATTAACTTTGTTGTGAGGTCAGTGGTTTTCAAGTTAATATGACTGGTGGACCGAATAGCAAGATAATTTGATTATGGAGAATTGAAGCCAAGGGTTAAGGATATATCAAGAGAATCAAAATTTCTTAAAGTGAAAGAAATAATCCATGGCTCATGTCAAATGAAAGAAACAAGATTCAAAGGGTAAGACATTTTCATTCATTCTAATTCCTTTCAAGTGTTCATTTTGGTTCAAGTTTGGCAAGTGGATTAATATTCAAAAAATCTCGTTTTTATTCAAATTCTTGGATTCAAGCTTATTCATGATTTGATTTGGGATGTTTATTTCAATTCCAATCATAAGTCTCAAGCAGCTTCCATTTATATCCAAAATTTCTAAACAAGTATGAGATACCGTGTCTCAACATTGCAAAATCAGAGCCTAAAAACCGGGAAGAGCCTCGGCTATCGGCATCCTGTCGCGGACCTTATAACCAAACTTCATTACAAAACCATTCATATATTCAACACCATTTGGTTCCATTACATTTCCATTACAACTTTATCATTACATCAAAAATTACATAAACCTAAAACTTAACCATACAAAAATTACACAAAAAGTTCATGTTCTAAGCTAACTTTATCTTGCTAAAAAATAAATTTTCCATCCACGAGTCTTGTTCTCCATCATCTGTTCACGATACGGTTCTATTTTTGAGTACTTGGCTTACTTCTAAACAAAGCCATGCTGTAATAATCTCATTCATCACCATAACTATCGTCCAAAACCATGATGCTACTGTTATCACAAACAACTCAGGGCCCGGTCCGGACTCCATGAATTCACGACAGAACAAAACCTGCATTTTGTAAACTAGAAAAGTAGAAAGAATCAGCATATAATACAAACACTAAAGCCACTTCAGTTCACATATTCATTACATAAAACTCAATCAGGAATTATTCATAACAGAAGTACTGGTTTTTCATAACTGAGTTCCTAACAAGCTTGTTAACCGAATTCGCCAGATTCTTCACTTTTCAAGATCTTTTCATCTTTTCTCCATGACTTCACTGATTTCTCTCCATAAACAATTTGCAAAACCAGTTTCCCTACATTAATACAAAAATGACGAGCAGCCCTGCACATTTCAGAAAACCAGCAAAGCACAAAATCAGTAACTAACTAATTTGCAACAAGTTAGAAATCAAACTAACTCCTAATAGTTAACAAACCAAGCTTTAACAAACTCCTAACCTATTCCAAACTAACTTCTAACCGATTCAAAACCTCCCAACTAACTTCCTAAAAGTGAACAAACTCACCACTAGATATAGCAGAGTTCTGCTCATAGTAAAAGGAGGAGAATTCACAGTTATTAAAAAATCGACAACAGAATTCAGAACAAAAGAAAAAGGGATATGATTCATAACCATAAAAGGGATATAAAATTTATAGAATACTTACCATTCTTTTCTCCCTTTGGAAATCCGAAGAAAAACCATCCCCTTTCTCAGCTCCATTTGTCTATCATCTTCGTCTTTACCATTCATTCTTCAACTGCAGAAGAATCACCACAAGAATCTCATAAAAATTCTCTCCCTCTTCAATCTCCATTTTCTTTCACCTTCATCTTCATCTTCTTCCTTCAATCTTCATAGAAGGATCACAAATTCTTCACTCTGCATCTTCATCCACCAAAAAATCAAGAAAACTCTCTCTTCTTCTTCAACATAACCTTCAATCATCTTCGCCCTCGCGACTTCGCAACACAATGTTAATACTGCAACTTCTTATATCCTCATGAATCATCATCATCTTCATTGCCAATCTCCATCTGTTATCAACGACAGATTACCACAAATGCATGACCAATTCGCGTTCAAAATAAGGCGTAGAAGAAAACATATCTCAAGAACGTACTTATGATTACAACTCTTCTTCGTACATCTCCATCATCAAAGAGACGATTCCTCTGGTGTTTTTGTCGTGTTCTTGATGCAAGATAGTAGAGAAGAATAGGATTAACAAAATCCCTAACAAATCATGGCTGGAATCCATTGTAAGCGGGTCGAAGGAGAAGTTGAGGAAGCTTATTCGCGGATCAAGACTAAG